TCCTTGTTTGGCCGGATATTCTGTTACAGAACGAACCAGAGGAGAGACGTACAGATCCATTCGCAAGGCTTTATTCCAAAAACGTAGTCTTAGTACAGGCAAGGTCAATGAACAGCAGACAGGTATGGCAGAGGCATAGCACAGAGAAACCCTAAGGGCAAGCGTGGGTCGACGAGGTGCAAACAGAATCCGAAGGGCTAGGCTGAGGGAAAATCCAAGTGACACAGGCAGGAATCAAAACACGAAGGACAAGGCAAGACTACAGTTCAATGGAAGGCTCAGTAAGTAGCTAACACTTGGGGAGTGTTAAACGCTGACAATACAGTACAAAGAAACAATATCCGGCAACAGAGAGAGGAAGTCCAAGGGTTATAAAGGGTGTGTGATGGTTCTCAAGTGTGAGCGTGATTAGTGGAATCAGCTGTGTGAATCGTCAGTGCAATGAATGATGGGGATTGTAGTGAAGTGCAAGAGTCCATGCTGTGAGTGGGAGACCTCTGGTGGTGAATGTCCGGAAGTGAATGGACCAGATACGTGACACCAGTACGGCTTCTGCTTATTTGTTTTACATAAAAATAATTATTCTAGTTCTCAATAACGTTTCACATTTCTCAATCTCAATTTTAATTGTCAAGTTCTCAACCATAGTTTAATATTTGACTTAAGTTTTCTCTTGGATTTTATCAATCTCCAATTAGGATTCACACTAAGTTTGACGAGGCAAGCACTCTCTGCTTGTGATACTTTTGCAGTTATGGTAAATCATCTGTGAGATTAGTCTCTCTATATCATCTAAAATCTTTTTAAAAATTTTAATGGCAACACAATCATCCTTTTAGTTACTTTGATATATTCTGCAACTCACATTTGTTGGAGTCATTCATTTTACATCAACCTGTATTCATCAATTCACTTATAAAAATTAGTATTATAGATATTTTCTTCAAAAGGGTTCATGTGTCAGCCTCAACGGCTCCAACTTACTGCACGCCCTTGAAGCAGTGTGTGTCCCATTCAGGAATGTAAACAGAGCCACTGATTAAGCAGTTCTCTGTATTCTTTTACAGTCCACCAGTGGCGGATTTAATCATAATAGCCCAATCATAATCTTCATCATTATTATTGGCAGAACATTAATTTTCATAAGCTGCAAAATATTCTAAGTTGTTTTCACAAAGTGTCTGTTTAACTTTAGTCGCTTGTCCAGGGAAATTATCCCTGACCCAGAATTTCTTTCACTTGCTTCTTGTAATCATCGTAAGCAATACGAGGCTAAACATTTTAATTTTTCTGTTTCTTTGTTTGTTTGTAGCCAGTCAAGTTGTTTAAATTTCCAATCAGAATCAAAATCCTGACTACCATTTACTTAATAATTTCTGCAAATTTCTTTAAAGTGAGGGCTTTAGAGCACAGCTGCTTACAGCGTTTGCTTTTCCTGTCTCACTATTTGTTTCAGGACTCTTCAGGTTACTGATTAAGTTATTACATTTTTTTTTTTTTGCCATATCTTAATCATGGTTCATACTCACCTGAAGTTATTGCAGAAATGGAGGCGGCGATCTTTGAACAACACAGCTTGGCTTCTGCGTGATGAAACTGCAAAGTATACTCCAAAATCACAGTTACATATACTGGTCCATGCCAATTTGGGTCACAACTTTTTAAATTTTTCTCTCGGAATTGTTCCTGATGCATCCCTGGCAAACAACCCTATTATTGTTAGTATCCCTAACTGCCTGCTTCACTTCACTAAGTTCGGGGATCCCCTATCTGAGATGGAAGAGATTGAGCAGGTTTACGGTGCCACTGGACCTCTAGCCCAGGGACGTGCTCTGCTGGGGTGGTGCTACACCAGTAATGCCCAGCGGGGCCCCCACAGAGAACGCTTCGCTTGCGCTGTCTGCTGCCGTTACCCTTAACGACGCTCTCAGCGACTTCTTATACTGTCAGTAGTATAATTAACTTACTCCTTCACTCGCCTCATCGGAGTGAAGCTTCACTCGCCTCATCGGAGTGAAGCTCTCCCGCTCTCCTTCAAAATCTCTTCCAGTCAGACAACCCTAACAATTAACAAAAGCTTACTACCTTGTTTGTTGATTTGCCAGGGGTGTCACCGAGAATAATTGCCTGCGCATCCTCCACCATAACTGTAAGGGGTATACAGTCAAAGACCCAGAACCAGATATGAAGAATGAAGACCCGGAGTCAGAATTATAAAAAATTAAAGAAAAGTTTTACTGAAGATAGTTTGCATTTTCATCAGCAGAAGTCAGCTTCAAGACTCACACAGGAGTTCGTAGGCCGCCTCGCTTACAGTTACAAAGATCACAGCAGTTATACCATTTCCAAGGTCTAAGCTACGTCATTGCTTACAGGTTGAATGATTCTCATTGGCTAAGAAACATGAAAGCCTAAACAATTTAACACATGTGAGGAGATAGGGGTGCCTATCGCCATTAGTAAAGATAGTTGTCGTCCACTCATTGGATTTAGGTCTGTGGTGGCCTCGCAGGTTAGAGAAGGGCGCCGGGGTGTCTGGTCCGACCGTCCAGAACCAACATAGAATGTCATACGCACACACACAAATAACAGACACTAGCAAATAACAGCTCCCATCAAGGCTGAAGAGAGTCTGAGCTCCTTATTATCAGTTAAGTATACCAAAACATAATGCTAAAACATTCACTCGTTTGGGAGAAAAACAGATAACTGACATTTACTCCCAAGGAAGGAAATACACTGGAAAGAATACATTTTAATACAACAATTAAAGTTTGATAGTAACGCTCAATATAGCTTGACCATATGTCCAACGAAGGATCATATGTGTCCACGCTGCCTTTAGGACCCTCTAACCTTTCTACTGATCCCAGAGAAAGAGACAAACGGCCTTGTGGGTTACGTGGCCTTCGTGTCCTGCGTGTACTACGTGCAATCTCAAAGTAAGATTGGAATGCACCTAAAAGAAACTGGTAACTTGCATCCATGCATTTAAGAAAATATAATTTCACAAGCACAAGAATATAAAAATTATGATGTGATAATGAATATATTTGATTATTGATTTTTATAAAGGAAGTATATAACCATTCAAAATGATATATGATTATATATGTATTTGAAGAGGCAAGGGATTTTGACCAACCCTTCAGCATCATCTGTTCCATGCGAGAGGATATTCTCTAAAGCTGGTGAAATTGTTTAAAAAAAGAAAAGAAATCGCCTTTCACCAAACACTGTGGAGAAAATAATATTTCTGAATAAAAACCATACCATTTAATGAACACTTTGTCTAAGCCTTCTGCATGATGTACCCAAAGCACATCCTCTGCCACGTTTATTATTATTTTTTTTTATTCATTGGAGAACTATGAACATTGTGACATAAAAACATGCATCAAAGACACAGAAACTTCAAAAACCCTCTGCTACATTATACAAGTACAACCAGTTACACAAGCACATCCTTTTCAACATACACAAATATCAGTCCCACCAGTTAACAAGTTATAGAGCTCTGCTTCCCACAGCTAAACAAGATAAAGCTTTCACACATGATACTGCCCTGCTAAAAACAAACAAAAAAACTATAGAAACCATCACAGAAATGTTATTGGATTTAATGGTTTTCATGGGAATTTTATTGGTTGTAATGGGAATTATAATGGTCTATGTGGGTCTCTGATATGTGTTGGGTTCTATTGGTGGGGGCATTACATCCTAATGGAATATGTGCCAAAAAATAATTCTGTAGTGGTTTAAATGGTAAAAGCCAATGGTTCCTATTGGTATTTTATTAGAAACCATTAGAATTTGTGTGATGGTTTCCAACTTTTTTTAAGCTGGTCTGATCTTCTGTCCTTAATTACACACACACATCATGCTTAATGTTTTATTATCAAGGTGAACACATGAAATTCATCAGTATCTGTAAAATTCACCTAAATAAATGAGTTTCACAGCACTACACTGTTTCAGCTTTGATCGCCTCGGTAAACACGTAATAAACGGGGCGTTAACAAAGCCTACTTGCATTTTATGGTTGTCAGCTTTGTTGCATTACATTTACTTCACCAGGAGATGGTGCTGCAATTTCTATCTGAATGAAGCTTCGAGTAATGAACCATTTTCGACACGATTGTATCAGAAAGCAATAATGCTTCGAAACGCTTCATTTGGCCATCACTACAGACAGGTTGCTCACATGCTTCTGATTGACTTCACTTTTCTCCGTTGAAGTCTATGGGGTCGCTGTGTCCATTTCTTTTACTGTCTATGGATACTTCGCATGTGTGAAATCAGTCCTTATGGCCTCGATATTGCCACCTGCTGTCACATGTGAGTATTGTGATGATCTGTAACGTGATGCGGTGAAGGCAGAGAGGAGGCTGGATCCAAACGCAGTGTACACGCTTTATTTAAACAAACTATAAACTTAAACAGAGACTCAGAACTTGGAACAGGAATCTTTACACAGGAACGACCAACACTCACGTTAATCCTGGAACAGAACATACATTCAACAACTCACAAAGACAGGGCAGAAACACAGGGCTTAAATAATCAGGGACAAACGAGCTAGACAGGATAACAAGGGGGCGTGGTTAACAAGAAACACCTGGGATAACTAATGGACAAGACAGGGAACCACTAAACATGACAAGACACAAACCCACATCGTGACAAGTATACAGTGGAAATTTGTATGATGTGTCCATTTCCTCATATTATCTACTGGATAGGAACATAATAAACCATAAAAATAAAATACAAAAGGTATATAAGTATTTACACAAGAGCTACACAAACCTATATCACTGCACACACTAGCCAGATTCTGACAACTTGTACAAATCAAGAAAGAACTGTTGGTGTTTTTAATTAAATGCCTTTTAATCATTTTGGATTCACAGGCCTTGAGGGCGGGGATTTAAAGAGAGAAAGTACAAGAGTTGAGGTCACAACTATACTGGATGCGCACACAGGTTTTCAAGCTTGAGTTAAACTATTTCAGACCACTGTTGAAGAAAATGTTACACACATTTGTTTTTTGCTGTTTCTGCTGTTTCCCTCTAGTTGGTAAGTGACAGATTTTTCTTTTTACGATTTATAGATTTATAGCATCATGTTATTAGTGTGGAGCTACAATTAACTTCAGTTCCACCATCAATACATAGCAAAAATGTAGATTTTCCACGGTTCAATTTACTTATTTAACACTAAACCAAAACTAGAAATGTACTATTTATGAAGATATGTGAATTCAGATAGCTGTTTACTTCATGCCATTCATTTTCCACACTTCTTTTTCTATCTTTTGCCATTTCAAACTAATTCAAATTTATTTTTTCAAAGTTTGTAATTATTTGTGTTTGTAATCATTTCAAAACTACTTAACTTCATCAAACCAAACTACATTTTTTATCTTTATGACGTGTCACTGAGAAACTGTTTCTGTTTCTTCTTCAGGTGTGTTTGGTGATTCAGATGCACTGAAGTCAGTGATGGAAGGAGATTCAGTCACTTTAGACATTATTGTTACTGAAATACAGGACATGAATAGGATCATATGGAAGTTTGGAACTAACGAGTCAACCATAGCTAAAATAAATAAAGGGTCCAGTAAGATATATGATGATGTTCTTGATGGGAGATTCAGAGACAGACTGAAACTGGACAATCAAACTGGATCTCTGACCATCACACACATCAGAGACACACACTCTGGAGTTTACGAAGTGATCATCAGCAAAAGCAGCAGAAGCAACACAACCACACACAGTTTCAACGTTACTGTCTATGGTGAGCATTACAGCTCACTGTATTTTATATTACAGACATGGCTCCAAGCTTCACAAAAATAACTGAATCATTTTTCAACATCATTCTGATTCCACACAATGCAAATATAGTCATACTGTATCTTAGCAATGCTTTGGTGTATTGATAAAAAAAACTTTGTATACATTGTGTTCTTGACTGTATAAAGGAAGTGGGGCAGAATCACTGTAATAATTTAGTATATTTTTTTTATTTTTTTATTCAAAACATTCAAAAGCAACAGCAGTGTATAACCCATACATTCACTCAACTTTGTATACCAGTTTGACAATGCAAAGTTTAAAGTGTGGCTCAGTGGATGGACCTGTGCTACAATATCTATATATATATTGCATTGTGTAACTGACCTCATACATAGCCTGATAACTGCGGGTAAAAGCCACAATTTATTCTTATTTCTCTTTATTGTGTTATGTTTTCCAGCTCACCTGGCTGTTCCTGTCATCAGTAGAGACTGTTCTTCATCGTCATCATCATCATGTTCATTGGTGTGTTCATCAGTGGTGAATGTGAGTCATGTGACTCTCTCCTGGTACGCAGGAATGAGTGTATTGTCCAGCATCAGTGTGTGTGATCTCAGCATCAGTCTCTCTCTACCTCTGGAGGTGGAATATCAGGATAAAAACACCTACAGCTGTGTGCTGAACAATCCCATCAGCAACCAGACCACACATCTGGACATCAACACACTCTGTCACACGTGTGCAGGTACGGCGGCGCTAATATTAGTTGGATTTATACACTGAAATAATTAATTGATTTTATTGACACTGATAACTTGATGCCAGAAATTATGAATAAGCTTCTGTCATCATGTCTCATGTCTTTCTAAACGGGTTTGATTTGTTTTCTAATGCACAAAAGCACCAAAAGAAGATTTATCAGAATGCAGATATCTTTTTGGCTTTTTTATTATAATTTTGAGTTTGTGACAGCTGAAGTCAGCTAGTTGAAGATCTCAATTCTATTTATCATTTGTTTTTTCAGAAGTCCACGTCCATTGTTGTGACTCAGTTGAAGCTGTGCTGCGATTGGTCGTCACTGCGCTGATAGGCGTGGCTGCTACGGTTGCTGTTGTTCTTCTGGTCAATGACGTCAGATCTACAAGAAGTTAAATGGAGAAAACAGAACAGATATCATAAATATTGTGTTTTAATCCGTAAAGATGTAAAAACATGTGTGGTTTAATTGCTTAGTGATATCAAACAACTCTTTTCTTACCAATGCTTACCTAAACCTGGTGTATTCAAAACAATGAATATCCTTTAAAATTTCATTTTATTCTTTAATGCCTTCCATTTTACATTCCTGTTAATCCCACAGTTTTCATTTTTTCTTAATAAGTTTTTTTCAGCTTGTTTCATATGCAGCCACCCCACAAATACAAATGTAAAAATATTTGTTTAGCAATGAATCACTGTACAATTAAACTGCTCTACATCTAAATCTACAACTACCGTTGTAATAGAAATGATTCAACCCCCATTGCAAATTCAGCTGTTTGCAATGAACAAATCAAACAAAAGTAATTGAAATAGCAACACAACAAATGTCTCAAGTGGTTTCCCCAAATTCAACTGAAAATGCAACTTTTAATGACTTCTCCAGGCTCAAAAGTATTTGACCCCTTTATGACAAGCATCTTTAGAACTTAGTAGTACTTTTGCTGTTCTGACCTGCTGCAAACTAGATGTATAACCAGACACCAGCTTCTGGCAGCGTTTCTGAGGAATCTTAGCCACTTATCATGAGCAATGGCCTCCAGTTCAGTAATATACTTGTGTTTGCGAGCTGCAACCGCCTTCTAATCCCACCAGAGGTTTTCTACGGGGTGATTGAAGTCAGGTGATTGTGATGGCCAGTGTAATCTTCCAGGACTTTTTCTGAAACCAAGTCTTGGTGGAATTTGGAGATGGTCCTCACTGCAGAACATGAAATCCAGGGGGAGGAGTTGGATCCAGATCCAACTCCTCCCACCTTACATATACATAAACTTACCCATCTCCGCCCCCTGATCCCTAAACCCACCCCTAATCCTACCCATCTCCACCCCTTAGATCTGGATCCAACTCTGCCCCCTGGATCTTGTGTACTGCAGTGAGGTGCTACTGGGTATTTGAGGTATTTTTGGGATCATTGTCCTGTTGGAAGGTCCAATGACGGCATGACATTTTCTACTAGGATTTCTTGATACTTCAATGAATCCATCTTGCTTTCCACATGCTGCAGGTTTCCCATGCCAGAGGATGCAAAGCAGCCCCAGAGCATCACGAGCACCAACATGTAGGCAGAGTGTTCTTTTCAGCATATGCTTCAATCTTCCTCCAGGCATACCCCTGATCCATAGTTCCGAAATGTTCCAGTTTTGTTTCATCGCTCCACAGAACAGAATCCCAAAACGTCTGTGGCTTATTTATATGATTTTGAGCAAAATGGAGCCAACTTTTCTTGTACTTTAGGTTTAATGACAAAATATAGTTATGGTTACACTTAAAATAGTTACAACATAGATGTATGAGATGTTTATAACCAAATTAGATAATTGCAACTTCCCCCATTGTTCTAAAGGTGTGACAATTCATAGACCCCCAAAGTGCACACATCTTGGACTACAGGCCTTGATCACTATCAGGCAGGGACGGATCTACGGGGTGGCAAAGGGTGGCAGCTGCCACCCCGTCTTGCCACCCCTGTTGCCACCCCATTTATAAATCAGATTATATTTTTTAAGTATATTTTATGTTCATAGCCTACACGTTGAAGGCCAAGGAGACCCGCACCAAACTCCTCTCAAACAGAAATCGCTGATTTAGAATCCCCTCCCCCTCACAATGGTTTCACCCATCACCAACACGGCAGCAACCCCCTCGAAATTTCACCAGTCACGCCAGTCTAGACAGTGCCTCGGAGAAGAGAGGCTGATAAGCAGTTAGCAGTGTGTGAGTTTAGAGGTAAGTTTGACACTAAGTCGAAAAAGTCCATAGCAGACAGTTAACCCTGCAACAACCACATTGTTACGTTATTTACATCCGCAATAGTCTTTGTTGTCTCATCGAATTTTTCTATGATCGTCAGGTCAGATAAGGGTCTAACGTTAGTCTAGCTCTTTGTGTGTGTTTAAACTACTGCTGTCACAAAATTGGCATGCATCCACTTTCCCAGCATCTATGACTATCCAATAGTGATGTAGTACTCGAGTCCGGTCTCGGAAGAGGGGGTGGAAAACAGTAAAGCAAATGTCTCGCAAAGCAAATGTTCATTTCAAATATCTTGGATTATTTTCAATCCTACACGTGCATGCTAAAATCTGCTTCAAAGTTTTCCCTTTCTCACTACCCTTGATGGTTGGGCGGTCAGGGGGTTCGTGGGGATTCCAAAGGTGGAGTGTGCAGTTTGCATGCCCGCAAAATGCTGCCACCTGATGGGGTCATCCGCAACACCCGTCCAGCACATGTGAGACAACAGCAGCTCTGGCTCTGCCCTGAATGCGATGGCCACTTACAAGTCTACCAGGCCAAAGCGCTCATAATGCACAAGGGTTTTCTGAGCCGGGTTGATGCAGGAACTGCGCATTTAACTGACCTCGCTCTCTGGGCGATGAAAGTCATGGCCCAGGCCTTCAGCCAGACGATGGCCACATTGGTGGTCCAGAGTACCATCTCTGGCTAAACCTTGCAGAGGTGCGAGATATCTACGAAGTGTGCCTTCTTGATACTCCCATCCTGGAAGGTGGCCTTTTCAGTGACACTGTCAAGGACTGTGCTTGGCAGTCCAGAAGCAGGCTGGGGCAATCTGAGCCTGCTCCGACGTAACCTCTGCTATCAGACCGTCGTGAGCTGCCCCTCAGTCTGCTCGTAGCCAAGGGTGTTCATCCCCCTGCAATAAAAAAAAAGGTGTTACATCATACTCACGGCCTCTAAACCGGGACACTATGCCTTCCCGAGGTTGGGTTACATCACACTCACGGCCTCTAAACCCGGGACACTATGCCTTCCCGAGGTTGTGCTCCACCTTGCTTCCCACTGTGGCATGTATGTAGTTCCATTGGTGCTCCTTGCATGGCATCTGTGGTCGCTCCACGCCCTTTACATTCCTGGCAAGCTCAATCGTGCAGCCTACGAACTCACACGTCAGCTCCTGCTCCAGTAAGAATGGAGACTACACCCCCAGGTGGTCCAGCTGATTTAGAGGCACAGGTAGACCTGTTCACCAATCCGGACACATCACTCTGCCAGTTGTCTTACTCCCTGACCAAGTGGACCCTCAGCACAGATGCGCTGGCACACATCGGACTCAGGGTCCTATGCAGATATGCATTTTCCCCACAGAGTGCAAGGTCAGAGAGGATGAGGAGCAGGTTTTGATGGTTGCGCCTGACTGGCCCATCCAGACCTGGTTCCCAGGATTGACCTCACAAGAGCCCTCCCTGGCGGATTCCCCTGAGGAAGGCCCTGTATTCTCTGGTACGGGGCACCACATGGCACACGCGTCCAGACCTCTGGAACCTCCACTTGTGGTCTTCGGACAGGATGCAAGGACATAAGTGGCCTACAGCGGTAGTTGACACTATCACTTCAGCAAATAACAATAATAATACCTAAAAAACACCAAAAGTGCAAAGATTTTACAACAAAAAAAAGACGCAACAACAACAAAAAAGAATAAGTAGTTTACTACTGAGGAAACTCATGAATATTCATGTAGGCTCCACCCACTGCCTCTACAGATGCACAACTCACTTTTGCTCCACATTTCACATTGATCAATGGTGCAAAAGGGAGAACGTGCAAAACTTGTCACTTGAAAGCGAAAAACAGTGTTTGAGATTCGTTGCAGCAGATTCAAGCAGTTGTAGTTATGTACTTGTGTTTGTGCTAGATAAATATACAAGACATTTGTGAGAAAATATTCTACGTGTGCAACTCTCATTGGATAAACTCTGGTAGATTTTTCCCAAAACCTAACTACGTACCTAAGTCTACCTGGGTACTCTCCTCATCGACGTTCCCTGAGTTGTCTTCAATCGACATTCTAGTCTATTTTCATATATAGCCTATTTCTCTAAACTAACTCACCTGCTTCCCTAAACTAACCTGCTACGCAGCAGTAATGACAGACAGACTTCAGCAAATCTCCCTTAAATGCTTTAATCACGGCCGGGAGATCTTCCCGAGCAGTTCTCAGAGAATCTCCCCCAAGAAGAAGCAAGGCTGGAGGATCTCAGATAAATTTCATAGAGAATCTAAAAAATAAAGAGTTTTTATATGGCAAAATGACATGATACATTACATAATTTCCCTACAATTTGATTGGTTCTTCATATGCAAACTCTTCTGTTACTAGGAAAGAGTAAACTCTGTTTTCTTCATTACTTTATATTCACAAGTTTTCAAACCTAGACACCTGTCTAGTTTCATTTCCCATATTTGTTACACGGCTATGGCAACATAGGTCTACAACATTCAAAAACACAGAACAGAGAATGTTTTAGTACATGGTGTTTCAAAGTGTTAGCATGTTAAATAAGGTTAGATGTTAGAAACATGGTTAGTTTAATATAAGATTAAAAAGTCTATCACAACTCATACTGATTTGCGAATGAGCATAATTTCTCTGTGACTTCACATTTTTTTATATGGGTGTGTAAATGTGTTTTGCACCATATTCACTGCAGCAACTGTAGCAAAAATATGAGCGTACGAGTCTCTTAATTTGTGATTTGTAGAATAGGATTTGTGCACCTGCAATGAAGAATTTGAGAAGGTGTAACTGTTGTGTTGTGTTTGTGGAAGAAAAAAAAATGTCTACAAGTTTGCAACTCTTAAAACATTTCTCTCTGTGACTTCAAATTTACTGATACACATGTGTGGTTATTCTACAACTACAAATTTGACAGACGTTCAGTGGATTCATACATACAGTGCATCTGGAAAGTATTCACAGCGCTTCAACATTTTGTTGCAGCCTTATTCCAAAATGGGTTAAATTAATTATTTTCCTCAAAATTCTACAAACAATATCACACAATGACAACGCGAAAGTTTGTTTGAAATCTTTGCAAATTTATAAAAAAAAATAAAAACCGAGAAAGAAATCACATGTAAGCCCACATGAGCATTCACAGCCTTTTGTCACGATCCACAC